GCTTTTAATTCATCACTAACCGCTTTCAGCGATTTCGCCTCATCCATTAGATCATCTTCCTGCAAAAGCGCAAAAAAACATCAATCACATTAGTAAGGAGTCTATTAGAAATCAAGAAATTTAGTTATTTTAAGTCAATACCCAGATCTGTCGAAAACTACACGCTAAGGATCATTGAATCTCAACTGGTAGGGAACATCCCTTTGGAGGACTTTAGACTGTACGTGGATTCCTTTCAAAATTTCAGCTTTCTAGCTTTTCTGGTTCCTGAGTTAGCAATTACTGGTAGGGAACATCCCTTTGGGGGGCTTTAGATTATACGTGATGCGGAATATCCCCTTTAAAATTTCAGCTTTCTAGCTTTTCTGGTTCCCGAGTTAGCAATTACTGGTAGGAAACGTCCCTTCGGAGGACTTTAGATTGTAAGTGGATAGGAAATACCCCTTTCCAAATTTTCGCTTTCTAGCTTTTCTGGTCCCCAAGTTAGCAATCTGCCTGCCAGAAATTTTCACGAGCCCGCACTTAGGGACCATTCAGGCTATTAATTACAGTAATCGATGAGGCTACGCAAACGAATGGGTCTGTGACCATTTTTTTTACTCAAAAACTTTAAAAAAAATTCTCTGAAGTTGGAATAAGTTCCAAAAAATTATCACCAAAGACTAGTAGGGTTTAAACAAATTAATGCGTGCAATTTTATACTCAAAAACTTGTAATTCAGAACGCAATAACTTAAATTCCGCAGTGAGTTATAACCAGACAAAATTCGAAATATTATTTGTTGAATATTGGCAGATATGAGCAGGGAATGTGGCCGGCTAATCCCTTTTTCCTTGTCTCAGTTGCGCGATCTATGTGATATGCAAATTCCCGTCTTGTGACTCAAGTTAACTTTTAATCCGGCCGACCGAGGAACGTAGTTGGCCGACCCACTTCTCCTTGCCCCGGTTTCGCTACACGATTCGTTGTGATATGCAAATGTCCCGTCTTGTTACTCGAGTTAACTTTTAATCCGTCCAACCAAGGAATGCAGCC